CTTCGAGGTTGCCTCTGGGTAGGAGTATGGGGAGAAGTATAGTGAAATGGGGACAGAAGTGCTAGTTGGGAGCTACTGTGTGCTTGCGTTTTCTTTTTAATGTGAGTGGCCAAAGCTTTGGTCTTCTAAGGAGAAGTGTGGGGTCTAACTTTGAAATTAGGAAGCATTTTATCTTGCTGTTAGGTAAATGGAGCTGCTTTTTTTTTTTTTTAAAGCTTTATTTATTTATTATATATACAGTGTTTATTATGTATATAGTGTTCTATCTGCAGGCCAGAAGAGGGCACCAGAACTTATTATAGATGGTTGTGAGCTGCCATGTGGTTGCAGGGAATTGAACTCAGGACCTCTGGAGGAGTAGTCAGTGCTCTTAACCCCAGAGCTGTCTCTCCAGCCCTGTAGCTGCTTTTAGTAAACTACATTTATTGAATTCCTTTGAGCCATCTCTGCTTTGTTTTCCTCTCGCCATCTTCTTGTGCAGTCTCCAGGCCCCATTTAAGATACTGTTTAAATTGGTTGCATTTCATAGTTCAAAGCAAAGTTTTCCTTTGGATACTATATTATAATGGATAATAACTATGTGGCTGGAATGCAAGCAGGTTGCTAGTCTTAATGTCAGAGAGCCTAAGGATATTGGGAAGTATTTCTTGTGTCAGACTAGCTATTCTAGTTGAGTTGGCTATTTTTGTAAAAATTTATTTTTATTCTTACAATTATATGTAGGTGTGCATGTTTGCATGTAGATATGCACAAATGAGTTGAGGTGTCCTCAGAGGACAGAATTGTTTGCTCCCTGGAGCTGGAGTTATAGACAGCTGGGAGCTGCCTAATGCAAGTTCTGGGAACTGAACTCTGGTCCTCTGGAAGAGCATCAAGTGCTCTTAACTTCTGAGCCATCTCTGTACCCCAGAGCTGGCTATTTTTGAGAGTGGCAGCCTTGTTGTGAAGTATATCCTGTTGGTTAAGTTTTTGGTGATGCTGAGGATCCGTTGCAGGCTCTTACCCATGCTAGGCAAGTGCCCCCTAGGTATAGTTCAGTTTAAGTTTCTGTGGATTTCTCTTATATGTATTTATAGCTTCTGCCTACTAGCCATACCTCAGGGTAGCACATTCCTGAGGTTTGTAATTCCTGCCAGGTTTGCTTGGAGATTAGTATTATAAGAGTTGGTTAATGAGCAGTGTTAATAAGCATGATTAAACTCTCCTAAGTGGATTTGTGAATATTGTCCAAGCCTGTTCATTTTTTTTTGTCTTTTCCAGAGTGTGATTCATTTTAGGCTGGTATAGGTTAAGGGAACATACATACCATGGATGAAGAGCTGCTCAGCATCCTGAGCATTACTTAAGTTTGGTTTTGATGATCGCAGGTGCAGGAGCTGGGGATGACAGTGAGCACACCTGTAGGAGCAGGTGTTGTCTAGTGTCTCATGGGGGAACCTTACCTTCTTCTCCATAAGAGAGACTCAAGTAATCACCTTTAAGCACTGTAAATTAGTATGTCATTACACAGTTTAACAGTTTCTTTGTCAGGTAAGAGGAATGAGCAAGGTGTGGTGGCTCAGACCTGTAATTCTAGCAGTTGAGAAGCTGAAGCAGGGGGATGACTGCAAGTTCTAGCCATAGAGCTATTATAGAGGAACACTGTAGGCAGAAGTTTCTGTCCCACCAGCAACGTGTAAATACCCGGCAGCCACTTCCCAAATCACAACACAGAGGCTTATATTAATTATAAATGTTTGCTTATTACTAACTAGCTCTTACACTTAAATTAACCCATAATTTTTATCTGTGTGTAGCCATGTGCCTTGGTATCTTTTTTCAGTACAGCATTCTTATCTGGCTTCCTCTGCATCTGACTGGCAGGCAACTCCTGACTCCACCCTTACTCTTCCCAGCATTCTTAGTTTGGTTGCTCCACCTACACTTCCTGCCTGGCTACTGGTCAATCAGTGTTTTATTAAACCAATTCAAGTGACAAATCTTTACAGTATACAAGAGAATTATTCCACAGCACTTCCCTATTTTTGTCTAATTAAAAAGTAAGGTTTTAACTTGAACATAATAAGATTATCTACAACAAAATCAGTTATTATGTAAGAATTACAGTAACACTAATCCATTTGTATTTGGCAAAATTAGCGAAAATATCTATCTTATCTTGGTGAGTCTAAAGTTTTATATCTAATTTACTCATTATAACTAAGGAAGACTATAGTCTTCAGCTCTCTCAAAGACCCCAGAAGGTTAAAATGTTACCTAATGACAGGGACATCAGGCTACCTGTACAGTCACCCAAAGTTCCTCTGCATGTTGGGGCGTTCAATAGGCCTAGCATGTCTGACAGATTTTTCTGTGAAGCAAGATTTTTGAAGGACTGTCCCACCTTGTCTTGACAAAGTTCTGCAGTCTCTTTTGTGTCCTGCTTGTCCAACTTGGAGGCAAGGGCAGTTTCTTGCCCAGTGGCTAACTTGCCACAAAGAAAGTAAACTCCATATGGAGTTTCTTTGATGCCCATCAGAACACTCTCTAAAATAACAAAAAAATCTCCCTCAAAAACCTCTTCAAAACCAAGAGGGAAACAAACAAACAAACAAACAAAAACACAAGGAAGAAGAATGAAGAACAGAGGCAGAAGTCTGACTCGGGTTCCCAGGAGAATGAGTTCTGTAAAGCTCCTTAGGAGCCACCAACCATTCACACTCATGACCTTCCGAGGCTGGCACACCTGGATGTTTTCAAGTGTCTTCTCTCTACTGCTACACTTAGTCATTAACAAATGCTAGGTATGGTGGCTCATCACTTAATCCCAGTGTTTGGGAACAAATCATGAGTTCTCTGGGTAGTGTAGTGAGATCCTGCCCCACACCTCCAAAAAATAAAATGGGATAAAAATTAACATTATTTGAAAATTTTGTGGGGCTGCTTACTCAAGACACTGAGAATTGCCTAAAAACCAAAGTGTTGATTATGATGCTATCTACATAAAATGTCAAAAAATACTGCTGCTTATGCCAAATCCCCAAAGTTTAAATACTTCTAGTCAAAAGTAAAGAAGTTGAATTTCTGTATAATTTGTGCAGGTTTTAACATGTCATCCATAGCATTCTCAGGATACTGTTTTTGGTCCGTTATTTTTTTCTCCAAGCCCCTTAAGGGATATAGGAGTAGTCAGTGATTTTTAAATGACATGAGAATGTGTTGCTTGAAGTATAGTCTAAAGTCACTTAAATAAAATCTATAATATAATTATGAAATGTAAATTTCCCAACTTAAAATAGAAGTTAGACATCCTTCTACACACTAAGTTTTTTCTTTCTTTCTTTTTAATTTTTATTTTTTATTTTTGGTTTTTCGAGGTGTGGTTTCTCTGTGTTCTTGGCTGTCCTGGCACTCACTCTGTAGATCAGGCTAGCCTCAAACTCAGAGATTTGCATGCCTTTCTATCTTTTCAGTGCTGAGATTAAGGATGCATGTTAGCACGCCTGATTCAGTGTAGTGTATTTTTCACTTAAAATTATTTATTTATAGAGTGTGTTTGTGTGTGTCTATTAGTGTATGTCATGTGTGTTTATACCTATGGGTGTCAGAAGAGGGTGTCAGCTCTCATGGAGGTGGTTGTGAGCCATCTGTCATGGGTGCTGAAAGTCAGACTCTTGTCCTGAAAGAACAGTAAGTGTTCTTAATTGTTGAGCCATCTCTCCAGCCCCTAGAGTAGTTTGAAGTGTAATTTCAATGGGCAGTTCATCTTTACTGCTGTGATAATTGTACTTAAGTTGTTGTCTAAGAAATAGCAACACTCTTACAAAAAAGCTTTCACAAGGATCAAAAGTTAGAAATTAGGGTCCTTAAATATTTTAATTAAGATATTAGGATACAACCCCCCCAAAAGAAAAAAAACAAACAAAAAGCTATTAAGATACTTGCTATGTTATGACGTTTCTTTGTGAATGACTGCATGTGTGCTTATAATGCATATGTGACATTTAGAGGTTGTAACACCAGAGCTTGGGGTGTTAGTTCAGTGGTAGACTATGTTGGGTTTTGGGTTTGATCTCTAGCACCACAAAATAATAAATAAACTTGCCAGACTACTAACTGAACGGGAGATTGCAGTCATGCCTGTTCTAATTGAGGGATAGCTTGATGTGACTTCCCCTGAGTTCTGTCTGAAGTAGGGAAGTCTTTCCTCTTCTATTAAATCTGAACCTTTGTCTAACGAGTCAGTTAGATACCTTTCTACCTTTTGGCTAATTTTGCTTTTCTGGGTGGGCACGCTCTACCCAGTAAGTCTCAGATGGTACACCGTGAGCTCCTATGGCTCTCATCTTTGCTGGTCTGTGTTGCATCTCTTTCAAAGATGCCAGAACTGGACAGTTCCTGGTTTTGACTTTGTACCCTGCTTACAGTATAATTTTGCTGAGTTTTATGGCCTTTTGGGAAGTGGCATTCAGATGACTTCCTATCACATGTTCCAAGGAGCTGGCAGTGTTGTACATCCATGTCTTCTAACAGATTGGTGCTGGTAGCAAGGTGATGTTCAGAGAGCTCTGTGCTTGCCACACAAGCAAAGATTGACACTTTCAAGCCTTGGTTCTTCTCTTTCTCTTATGGGGCAGGTACTGGCAGGCTGAGGAGGAAAGTGACGGTTAACCATCACTCGGTCCATTTTGTCATACAAGGATTGATCAGGTTTCTCCTGCAGTTCAGGTGTCTCTTGACTGAAGAGTTAAGTTCGGAATGGTAACTCAAAAATAACTCTTTGTGGCATAACTAGCCTACTGTATAAAAAGATGTTCTCACATGGATTCCTAGCAATGTTATTTTGTTAAAATGATCGAAGATATGTCAGGCATGGGAAAGAACTCTTTCAATGAGTTTTGTGTTGTTTTATTTTTAAGAATTTTAGCTCTCGTATATGAAACTCTGCTATAAAAATGAGTACTTATTCACTTGAAAATTTAACACCGTGTTCCTTTATAAATGTGTTTGTTTTCCTTTAGATCTTGAATATCTGATGCATGCAAAACAGCAGCTGGTAACCACAGCCAAGCGCTGGGATTCTTCTTCTAAGACTATTGTAGATTTTGAACCTAATGAAACTACTGACTTGGAGAAGAGCCTTCTGATCAGATACCAAATTCCTCTTTCTGCTGACCAGCTGTTTACACAGTCCGTTTTAGACAAATCATTGACCAAGGCTAACTATCAGTCACGGTTGCATGACCTGCTTTATATTGAAGAGATAGCCCAGTATAAAGAAATCAGCAAGTAAGTTCTTTGAGAATCACCTTCCTCCCCTCCCCTCTCCTTGTCTCTCCCCTCCTCTCCTCCCTCCCTCTATTCCTTTCTCCCCTCTACTCCTTTCTCCCCTCCACCCCACTTTTCCCTCCCCTCCTCTTCTCCTTCATCTGCCTTTAGAGTGATGTTTTTAATTTTACAGTGAAGACATGCTTAAGTAAAGATGGGTATTAAAATAATTGTTCTTCACTAGTTGTATTTTTAAACTAATTCACTAATTTAGAAACAGGGTCTTGTTATGAAGTAAGTCCTGGCTGGCCTAGAACTTGATATGTAGGCCATGCTAGACTTGAACTCTTGGTAGTCCTTCTGCTTCTGCCTCTTGAATGTCAGGATTACAGGTATGAGCTAGCACCCTTGGCACTCTGTATTCTATCTTTAATGAAAATGCTAGTAAGAATTGTGTTTAGGAAGCTGGAGGTGGTGGCGTACACCATTAATCCCAGCACTGGGGAGGCAGAGGCAGGCGGGTCTCTGTGAGTTTGAGGCCAGTCTGGTCTACAGAGTGAGATCCAGGACAGCCAGGGCTACACAGAGAAACCCTGTCTCAAAACAAACAATCAAAACCCAAAGAGTTGTGTTTAGTACATGGCTCTATTTCACAAGACTGTACTGAATATCTAGTCTGGGACCAGTTGTGCTCACTTTTGGAGTATAGAACTAGTTCCTGCTCTGAGATGGTCTCTAGGGAGTGCAGACTATAGCAAGCACTTAAAGAATATTTGTTGAATAAATGGACAAAAACGGAAGTAAGCCATATATTTTGAAAGTTCTTTGAAGAATGAATTGATTTAGATAGAGGAAAATAATTTGATGTTGAATCGGCTTTATATTAATTTATAAGTGCTCTGTCATCTTTTATATTTTAGTCACAATCACATACCAAGAGCTGAAAGCAAAAGTTTATTTTATTAATGTAAGAGAAATAGTCTTAAATGAAAGTGTGAGTGAGTGAAACTATTAAAAAGGTTGTTATTTTGAAAGTAGTTTTTTATGTTGGTGAAATAGGATGAACCCTCAAAATTGAACCTCAATGAAATATGATTGCATTTTTATAACTATTTCTCTGTTTAAATATAGTCTAACTAATATTTTTTTTTCTGCAAGCTGCCTTACGATTAATAATAGATTCAGAACACTCATTAGGGGCATATCCAAAGAACAAAGAGCAGATGAAAATGTGAAAGTACACTGTTCCACTCTGCTTGTTGGTTAAATGTGATAGAACTTTTGAGAGTATCTCATATGAAATGTTCCAGGTCAATAGGCTTGATTTTCGTTATTCTGGGACTATGTCATGGCCCTTTTTGGTTGTGCTCCTTTCTCTCTTTGTGGGGGCAGAGTTTTGCTGTGTAGCATAGGCTAGTCTTGAACTTGTCACCCTTTCCCTTTTTCTCTTGAGTTGTTTATATTACAGATATGTGCTGGGCCATTGATTGTTAATTGTCCAGTGCCCAGGTGGACATGTGATGTTAGAGGACAATCTTCAGGATTTGGGTCTCTCCTTTCACCTTGATTTTGAGACAGGGTCTCTCTTGTTTTGCTGCCATACTGTATCCTTGAGCTTCTGGCCAATTCTCCTGTCTCTTGTCCTTACTGAGATCACAAGTGTGGCCTACTGCATCCACAGCTGCAGTTTTTGTGTGGGTTCTGGGGATTGAACTCCAGTCATCCTAGCACTTTTACCTGTTGAGCTGTCTCCTTGGCTTCCCATTTGTGCAAATCTTAAAAGGCTTGTATTGATTATGACTGTAGTCTGTTGTGATGAAATCATATTTATTAATATGTAGGATGAAGTGCTAAACAGTCTTATTAATAAAAAACCTGGAGCCAAGTATTGGGGTAAAAAGCTGTGAGATCAGAAAAGCACGAATAAGCCAGCCACATTCTTACTATTTGGAGATCCTCGGCCAAAGAGACCCACTTCCTGTATACCCACACTTACATGCTTTTCTGTTCTGCCTTTCACTTAACTCTCTCCGCTCAGCTGCATCACTTTCTCTTTCTGCCCAGCTCTGTCACTTAATACATGAATAATGTGCATGTGTGTTTGTTCCTATTATCATATTCCATTTTCTTAGGAAAGAACACTATATGAATATTGGGATGAATAGAACTTCCCAGATGCCCACCATGGGGGCCCATGCTTTTAATCCCAGCACTTGGACAGTTGAGAGGTAAAGGCAGGTGGAGCTCAATGAATTCCAGGCCAGGCAGGGCTGTTACAGTAAGATCCTGTGTCAAAACAGAAACAAAAGCACAGCAATTTACCAGAGAGTTGGACCTAGTGTTATCATTTGTAGTCCTACATTCAGGAAACAAAGGCAAGAGAATCATGAGTTCAAAGCCAGCTTGGGCTACCTAGCAATGTCTGAGCTAACCTCAGTTACAGAGTGAGACTGTTTACTTTATCTCATGGAACTTCACAGAAGCCTTCAGGTTCTTCAAGAACAAACTTAGGCCACATGTGGATATGCATTCATTGATCCTACCTTGGAAGAAATATATTCAATTCTGAGAGATACACTTTTAAAGAAGTAAGACTTTAGAGCTAGAGAGGTGGCTCAAAGGGTAAGTTCATGTACTGGTCTTGTAGAGGACTGTTTGTTTTTGCTGTTTTGTGGGGCCCACCACCCAGCTCCGAAATAAATCACTCACAGAGGCTTATTCCTAATTACAAATGCCTGGCCTTAGCTTGGCTTGTTTCTTGTCAGGTTTTTTTTTTTTTTTTTAAAGATTTATTTATTATGTATACAATGTTCTGCCTGCATGTATGTCTACAGGCCAGAAGAGGGCACCAGATCTCATTATAGATGGTTGTGAGCCACCATGTGGTTGCTGGGAATTGAACTCAGGACCTCTGGAAGAGCAGTCAGTGCTCTTAACCTCTGAGCCATCTCTCCAGCCCTTCTTGTCAGTTTTAAGTTAATTATCCCATCTACCTTTTGCCTCTGAGCTTTTCCTGCTCTCTTCTGTAAATCTTACTCTTACTCCATGTCTGGCTGTGTAGGTGGGTGGCTGGTTCCTGAAGTCCTCCTCCTTCTCTCAGTTCTTCTTTTCTCCTCCCAGATTTCTCCTTCCATTTATTCGTTCTGCCTTCCAGCCCCGTCTGTCCTCTCTCCTACTTTGCTATTGGCCATTCAGTTCTTTTTTTTTTTTAATTAAGAATTTTTTCATTCATTTTACACACTAGTGTCTACAGCTAGCACAGTGGAGACCCTGGCAACAAAAGTAGCTACCACAGTTAGTTAATCTTCCATTCTATTGGGCATGATAAATTTAATTCAGTAGTTATATACATCTTGATTGGCTTTGAAAATTATAAATTTATAAACTCAAGTTCCAGTTGCTTTTGGGATACCATCTTACAAGGACTCCAGCATACAGTATGGCTCATTAAGGAAGGGAATGGCTCAGCTGCTTTTAGCCTACTGGCTATGGGTGGGATAGGACCTCTGTTGGTCTTTTCTGTGTCGAACACACAGATTGCAAGCCCAGTGCCACTTTGAGATCTTTGGCAGCAGTTAACTCTGCAACTCACACACGATTGAGCCTGTATGATAATGAGTATTCAGAGATGGGTAATGCCTGGGGGGCACTCACCAACCTAAGAGCACCTGTGTGGCCTGGGCAGGTGTCTCCATGACAGGTAAGGTGACCTGCTGACATCCCACGCAACCCAAGTCAGAAGCTCATTTTTTAGTAATAGGGGGACCTGTAGATTCCTGGCCCCCGTTTTTGGGTAACTGTTGCCTTGCTTGCTGACCTTGACCTTGATATCCTCCCAATGCTATTTCCCTGCCAGGTTCCACCCTCCTGAATGCTTAAGGAAAGTTCCTTGTCTGTGTATCCTGAATAATGGGCGTTAACAGCTTAGATGCAAGATTGTAAAACATCTGTAGCGAACTTCTGCCCTCCGGGGTCCTCCCATTGTGCTGTAAGCCTGTATTTAAGACCTCCTCCCTCCTTCAATAAATGACATTCGGCCTTTAAAATTAAAATATATATATTTGAATGAATACTGTGAATGTAATCTATGAATACCACAAATGTGGTTAAAATCATGAGTGTAATTAATGAATATCATGAGTGTAATAAAAAAAATAATCTCTGTTGTAAACACCACATGCAAACAATCCCACATGTAAAATGTCATGTATCATTATTACCTTGCAGCCTGTTTCCACAAGGATGGTCAGTAGAGTCTTAAATCACTGGTTGAGAAGTTACGGGGTAACAGAATAGTTGCATCTCATACAACCATGGAAATAACTAGAGTTTACTTTTTACATCCCCAAGGATCCATGTTGTCAGGATTGGTGGTAAGCACCTTTACCTGCTGAGCCATCTCTCTGACCCTGCAATACTAATTTTGAAAGTTAGCATTTGCATAGGACTTAAAATATGCTAAACATTAATTCACTTAAACTGTATTCCAATTCTATGAAATACTTTTTTTAAGTTTAAAAAAAAGATTTTTTTCATTTATTTTGCACACTAATCAAAGATCCCCTCCCCCAACCCACCCCCCACTCCTCCCCACAAGAATGCAAGGTCTCCCACAGGGAGGCACATCCAGTAGAGGCAAGTCCAAGTCCTTCCCCCTGCCTCAAGGCTGCATGAGGTGTCCCACCATAGGTAGTTGGCTCCAAAAAGCCCCCTCACGCACCAGGGATGGATTCTGATTCTACTGCCAGGGGGCTCCCCAAGCAGATCAAGCTACACAGTTGTCTCATGCAGAGGGCCTAGTCCAGTCCCATGCAGGCTCCACAGCCATTGATCCAACTTTCATGAGTCATCTCTGCAGGTTTCCCCATCGATCCTGAGGCACTTGCTCATAGAATCCCTCCTCTCTCTCTCCGACTGGACTCCTGGAGCTCTGCCTGGTGTTTGGCTATGGATCTCTGCATCTGCCTCCATCAGTCATTGGAGAAAAGCTCTGTGATGACAGTTAGGATATTCACCGAACTGATCACTGGGACAAGCCAGTTCAGTTCAGGCACCCTCTCCACTCTTGCTAGTAGTCCAAGCTGGGGTCATCCTTGGGGATTCCTGGCAACTTCCCTAGCACCAGGTTTCTCTCTGTCTGCATGTCTTTCATCTCCCTCCATCATGGTATCTCTCTCTGCTTTCCCACACCATCCCTGTTCCATCTCGACCATCCCATTTCCTTATGTTCTCATCCCCCATCCTCTACCCTCCAATGCCCACCTCCACCCCTGGCCATTCAGTTCTTTATTAGACTATCAGGTGTTTTAGACAGGCACAGTAACACAGCTTCACAGAGTTAAATGCAACATAAACCAAAGTAACACACCTTAAAATAATGTTCTACAACAGAGGACCTAAGTTCTATTCCCAGAACCCACATCAGGTGGTCACAACTGCTTGTAACCCCAGTTTCAGTGGATCCTACACTTTGGCCTCTGAGAGCACCTGTCATACATGCGTTTATGTCTTCTACATACACACAATTAAAAATAATAAAAATAAATCTTAAAATCCGAAGACTAGACAGGAACTAAAGCTATGGTCTTCATTGAACTGTGCAGTGGCAAGGCTAACTGGTCTGCATGCCCGGCTCTCTAGTGCCCAGCTGCCTGGCAGGCCTAGTGTGGGAGTAGGATGTGTGTCACATCCCAGCCCTGAGCACAGCTACCGTGGGTTACCTCACTTCTCCACTTGGCATCACCAAACTCAGTGGAATCTAAACTGTTGTTTAAAAACTCCCAATAGTTAATTTTACTAGGCTCATCCTTGTTCATGTAGTGGGAAAAATCTCATGAAATCAAATTTACACTATAGCTTTGGTATTTGAAAGTGAAAATATCACTTCAGAGGTTTGACCTAACTAATGCTGGCATTGGTTACAACCCCCCCCCCCCCCCAATTCCATTTATTGAAGGAGGGAGGAGGTCTTAAATACCCGTGTACAGCACAATGGGAGAACCCCAGAGGGCAGAAGTTTTACAATCTTGCATCTAAACTGTTAAGGCCCATTATGCAGGATACACAGACAAGGAACTTCCCTTAAACATTCAGGAGGGCGGAACCTGGCAGGGAATTAGCATAGGGAGGATATCAAGGTCAAGGTCAGCAAGCAAGGCAACAGTTACCCAAAACGGGGGGTGGGGGTGGGGGGTGGGGTGGGGTGGGGTGGTGGTGCCGGCTGCAGGACCCTACAGGTCCCCCTTTTACTAGAAAATGAGCTTCTGACTTAGGTTGTGTGGGATGTCAGCAGGTCACCTTACCCGTCATGGAGACGCCTGCCCAGGCCACACAGGCAGTCTGTCTTAGGTACAACCACATTTCTTATCAGCTAGACAAAGTGGTTTTATAGCAGTGGAAATTTTGTTGGCTGTTTTTGCCTCCTGGAAAGGTTGACATTATATTGGCTTCAAGATTGATTCAAAATGTGGTGTGAGACAGTGGCAGAAATTGTCTTTGTTCATTGAGAATATATTTTAAGTATTTGAATTATTAAATTTCAAAGTTTTTTTTAGGATTTATTTTGTTTTAAATTGTGTGTTTCTGTGTGTGTCTGTGTACAGGTATTTGTCTGCATGTGGGTGCAGGCACCCCAAGGAGGCCAGAAGAGAGTATTAGGTCCTCAGAACTGGAGTTACATACAGGAGCTTGTGAGCTGCCTGATGGGGGTGTGAGTCCTGGAAGAGCAGCCAATCCTCTTAATCACGGAGCCATCTGTCCAGCTTCAAGCTGTCAGATATTAGTCTTCTAATATTTGAGAGAGGCTGTGGACTGGGATTTTAGTTTAGTGTACCAGCCTTTTAAGAAGAGGAGATGTTAGAAATAGTGGTTTCTAGTAGAAAGGCTAAATCTGCATCTTTAGCATATGGCCAGTCTTCTGCAGGAAACTGCTTTTTGAGGTGTTTGTTTTCTAGGACATCAAGGCATTGGTTAGTGACATAGCAGATTCTCCTGCTGCTGTAAGGCTGTGGCCTTAATGTTCAGGACTGTTCAATTATGGTCAAGTTTTGGAATGGTGGGTTCAAAATTAAATATAGCAGTAAAATTTGAATATGTTGCCTAAGAAATGTATTACAGAATTTTAAGAATTTATTAGGGAATAAAGTTGTTGAAATGAGAGTTTTGTATATGATGATAGAATAGATTAGAGACAGAAAGCCATGTTCAAGTTTATATAGTAATCAGGTTAAAAATGTTGAGTTGCAAATGTCTTCACCAGTTAGTAGGAACCCATAGTGCCCCCAGAAACAGGGCTTTGTGATAGTATAGTGGGGGATGGCGGTTTGTGCGACAGGATAGCCAGTGTAACTCACTTCTGGCTTGGAGACCTAACTGAATGGTGAAGCCTTTTTGCATAAGCCTGGAAGCATTGATTTGGAGTCACGTTGGAGAGGTCAAAGGTTCTTTGGTGTTACCCATCTGGGCATGGAGAATGCAGGAACAAAGGTGTCTATTAGAGAGTAGGTGAGGGCACAGGGCTTTGAAAAGGTGGCTGAGTTTGGATGGGAAGGGAGGGAGGTAGCAGGGAGTCCCTGGAGGGCATGGCTCTACAGAAACCCAAGGAAGATGGAGTTTAAAGAGGAGAGTGACTGCAAAGTAGAAGGGAGACGATTTGCAGCTTGGCCATGACCTTTAGTAACAGAGAGAGGTCTGTCAGGCCGCGATGTGTTAGGGGCAGTCTCTTCCAACTTAAGTGAGTTTTAATGACCTGGTCCTTCTCATCATGTGGAAGGCAGTTGTGACGCTTTCTTTAAAGACTCCTTCATGACACCAGGGCTCGGGGTCTCTTCAAATGGTGAGGTGGACAGTGGCTATCAGCTGGACAGCTTCACTTCACTTTCATGTCCAGGCTTTTTAATTTGAGTTCTGAGCATAAATCTGGTCTTTGAAGAGTCAGATATAGTTGGAGAAGATGAAATCTGCGTTTCTTTAAATTACTCAGGAACATTACATACAGAATGAGAGAAATGTAACAGTATTTTTGGAAAGTCTCATAAAAGGCAGATCCTACTGGATTGTATTTGGTCTGCATATAAAGTTGTGTTATTAAATACTAATTTTAGTATGTATAGACCTTTTGGTTTTATACCTCTTGTGTATTCTATGTGAATATTTCTTTTCTTTTCTTTTTTTTTTTTTTTTTTTTTTTTTTTTTTAATTTAAAATTTTCAAGACAGGGTTTCTCTTTGTAGCCCTGGCTGCCCTGGACTCACTCTGTAGACAAGGCTGGCCTCAAACTCAGAGATCCACCTGCCTCTGCCTCAAAAGTGCTGGGATTAACGGTGTGCACCACCACACCCTGCTGTTTCTTTAACTGTGTAAGTTAATCTTGATTCTCTGTGATGCCTTCAAGCACATATTCTCTCTTATTCACATGGACACAGGTGTCCTGATTGTTGTCTGCTAAGATACGCCAACCCCCTCCCCCTCCCCAGACAGGGTTTCTCTGTGTAGTTTTGGTGCCTGGATCTTGCTCTATAGATGAGGCTGGCCTTGAACTCACAGAGATCCTCCTGGCTCTGCCTCCTGAGTGCTGGGATTAAAGGCGTGTGCCACCACTGCCTGGCCTAACCTCTTTTTTTTTTTCATAGTGAATCTCTTGCATGGACTCAATTCCTTGTAATAATGAATAAACTTTTATTCTGGTTGTTATTGGCTAGCATTACCGAGAGAGAAATGTTATGGTTAGATTCTTTTGGTAAGATTTACCTGCCAAGCCCTCAGCTGAAAGTCCATTGTAGTTTAATGCAGTTCCTTTCCTCTTAGCTTAGGTAACTTTAAAGTCTTAATTATCTCAACCATGTTCGAACAGGTTTTCCTATTAGTTAATGTATTCCACTTTATTAAAAATCACCTGTAGTTTACTCAGACTTACAAGAATTATTTATTTGTGCGTGTGTGTGTGTGTGTGTGTGTGTGTGTGTGTGTGTGTGTGAGAGAGAGAGAGAGAGAGGGGGGGGGCAGGGCTCACATACAGGGGTCAGAGAACAACTTTCAGGAGTCAGTTTGCTACTTCCACCATGTGAGCTCTGGAATCAAACTCGGGTCACCAGGCTTGGCAGCAGGTGCCTTTACCCACTGAGCCCACTCAGGGCCACACTCAGTCATTTAGAAATCCATATTCTTAACACAACTAAGGATGCTTAATGTGACTTGTCTTCAGCTTGGATTTAGGGGAGAAAGATACTGTAGTATATAGAGTTGGTAATTCAGTACAGGGGAATCGGTACAAAGTTTACATTTCCATATATTTATATTTGAATTCCTTTGTTGTATTTTTCTAGTTCTTACGGTTTTGACGAGAAATACTCAAACTAGTTTTCTGCTTTCGATTTAGGTTCAACCTTAAAGTGCAATTGCAGATTTTAGCAAGCTTCATGCTCACTGGAGTTTCTGGGGGTGCAAAGTATGCTCAGAATGGACAACTTTTTGGTCGTTTTAAGCTTACTGAAACCCTTTCTGAAGATACTTTGGCTGGAAGACTGGTGATGACCAAAGTCAATGCTGTTTATTTATTACCAGTCCCTAAAGAGAAGCTAGTACAGACCCAGGGAACCAAAGAGAAGGTTTATGAAGCTACTATTGAAGAAAAAACAAAAGAGTATATATTTTTAAGGATATCCAGGGAATGCTGTGAAGAGCTTAATCTTCGGCCTGACTGTGACACACAGGTATGTTCGCAGGCAGCGCCTTTCCTGGAGTGTTTTCCCACCCCAGCGTCAGCTGCTGCCTGCTGCTTGTTCACCCTCCACTGGCCAGAAGTGCACTTGACTTTGAAGTCTTATCCTGGGTGGTCACCTTTTGAATTTAAGGAACATGTAGTATGCTCCCATCTTGTACAAGTTCGAGCTTTCTGATTAGACATTGACATCAGCAACGGAAGAGCAGAGTTTTTTGGAAGCTGCTACGTCCAGGGCCACGGGATCAGCATTGTGTCTGCTTCCTTTCTTTTTGCATTAATGGTGTTTAGGTGAAGCCTGTGTTCAATTTTCGATATTTAAGTAGAAAGCTAGCCTGTCTTTTTGAATAAACTTAGTGGACCATTATTCATTGACAGTCTGTGCAGGGTTGTAAGGCTGATTATCACTCAACATGTGATACCACACTTGTTCTGGTGTTATCAGATGTATTTTTCATGGGCATGGTGGACTCATACTCTTTATCTAGCATTTATAAAATTTCAGTTCTTACCATGTAAAATGAGGTCAGTAACAGCATGTATACTGTTAGTATGATCACATGAGGTCATCCATGGCAGCTGCTTTGTTACAGTGCCTAACAAATGCAGCCGGTGTTTCCTATACTAATTACTGTTGGGATATGATCGTAGTTTGAAAGAAGCTCTAAACTTGTCCTGCAAACTGTTGACTCCATGAAGTATTTTGTACACTGCCAATATCGAGGTTGGTGTAAAAGCTGTTTTAAAAATGTTCATTTTGTGTTTCAGGTCGAGCTTCAGTTTCAGTTGAATCGATTACCCCTCTGTGAAATGCATTATGCACTAGACAGGATTAAGGACAATGGTGTTTTGTTTCCAGACATCAGTATGACTCCTACCATACCTTGGAGTCCTAACAGGTAAGAAAAGAGATTTCTTAGAAAAAAGAAGGATGTTAATATTAAATTGAATGCCTGTATCAGCTCAAGCAAACTTGATTGTTTCCTCTCCTCCCCCTCCCCCCTTTCTCTTTTTTTAAGACAGCATCTCATACTGTAGCTAGGATGGACTGGATCTTGTTATGTAGCTCAAGCTAACCTTGAACTTGTGGTAGTCCTCCTGCCTCAGTCTCTTCAGTGTTGAGACTGCAGTGCGAGCTAGTACACTGAGCTCAAGCATACTTTTGTTAGAAAGTTTGCTTATGTTCTTGAGATGAATGAAACATTTGACATTCATACTGTAAGTTAGTTCTGTGGCTTCTCTCAATGGTCTCAATTTGATAGAACACTGAATAGTTTAGGGATGTTTCCAAATGGTTTTCTAATGTGACAATCATGACCTTTCTGCAGCGGTTCAAATATATAATACAACTTTGAGATGATATTGTGATTTAGCAAAGTGGAGGGAGTGGTTAGAAGATATTTCTTCAGAAACTGCTGTCATGTTAGGGGTTGTGCAAATAGTGATCTGTTTAACTGTCACCTCCACCCGTGGTTAGGTAAAGGACTGCTGGTTTGTTCTAAGACTATGCAACTGTGTGAGTATTCATTCACCTTTGCTACTGGTTACTGTCCCATTAACTTCTGCCTTCCTAGCTTACTTGACCTTAAAAAAATATCTAAGTGGCTTTACACAATAAAGACTTGGTTAGGTGGCCACCTGGCAGAGTGTTTCCTACTGATGGATGTCTTGGATCTTTTTTTTTTTTTTTTTTTTTTTGGAGTTGAGGATCGAACCCAGGGCCTTGTGCTTGCTAGGCAAGCGCTCTACCACTGAGCTAAATCCCCAACCCATCTTGGATCTTTAGTGATTGATTTCCAAGGTCACCTGCCTGTTGACAAGTAAAGAGTGAACACAGATGACCAGATGGTACATTTTTATGGATCAGGCCTAGAAGTTGCACATACAAGTCTACTCAATATTCCATTGCTTCTGGCCCTAAAACAGAATAAAACATGATGTACCTTTTAGTAGGAGCTTGCTGTTGCTGCTTCACCCCCCTTCTGTTTATTGCCAGATTTCTCAACAGGCACTAGTCTGTGTGGCTCTAGCATTCTTCATTTACTGTGGCTTTGCTGCTTACTGTCCTGAAAGTGATTGTGATCTGATTTTAGAACCCAGGGACATCTCAGCTCTTGTTTGGTTGAGCTCCTTTGCATCCGTCTTTTTCTTTCCATTCTTGTAACTGGTGCTTAAGTTAGGCCTGGACTATTTCTGTGGCATTCTGTTGATCTTCCATCCTGCTGTCTGTCTCTCTGTTGTCTGGTCCAACCCAAATACTTCTTCCAAAGTTAGTTTTTTAAAATAACCATGGCATTTCATCCTGTGCAGATCTCTGGATAAAGTCTGAGAGGCCAATTCTGAGCCCTGTCATCGCTTCTGACTGAGTGCCTTCCAGCGCTGTCCTCTTCCTTTCTCAGTCCCCATGCTCTAGCTGCATTTGGTTGCCTTGACATGTATCTATGCCTTCCTATACTTACTTGCCTCCTTATGTTTTGTTATTCCTATAGAATTTTTTAAACGTGATGAAATCCATGCAACATCACTAGCCACTTGAAGATTCTAGTCTGTTAGCTTTAAATACATTGATGTGCGACCCTGATGCTGTGTCCTCATTGTATGTCTCTCCTCATGTTTGCATGGTTTCCTCTGCTGTCTTTGCCCAGGATCAGCTTTTTGAAGATCATTTGGTCCTTTGGAGTCATGGGCAGCTTAAGTGTCCCCTCTTCAAGCAGATGAGCGGGATACTTGGGTTTCATGATTTCAGCACTTACTTACTGAGTCCCTGCTGTGACAGTTCTCTGCTTTCCAGTATGATTTCTCTAAATTCATTTTTGTCAGTTGTGTACATTTCAACTTTTTTCCTGAACTCTGGGCTTTGTAAAGTATGAGACCATGTCTTATTTATTTTGAATATCAAGAGAGTCTTGTACATTGAAGTTACTATTAAGTTCAAGTTTAAAGAGGAAGATTAGTCTCAAATGTGAAGTACCCTCCTAGTGAAGCTTTTGGCATTCTGACTTGATTTGTTCATGTGTCCAACAGTACTGACAGAGAAGTGCCAGGAAGCCGTCGTGCAGCAGGATGCTTGCAAGCCGGGCCAGGCCTGCCCACCGCAGTAGGACAGTAGTGGAAAGTCCTGTGTCTAGGACCTGAGAAACCAGTAGCCATTTAAACTCTTTTGGAATCCCAGGGGATGTAGATAGACAATGAAGCTGAGAAGTCGTTCTTCAGCATGTAGCCTGTAAACTAACTCCAGGAATGCATTGGACTGGGCTAAAGAAGAAAAGACATTGAATTAACTTAGCACTGAAATAAAATAATTTTTATTCCATTTTAGAAAATATCTTCTGAGATTAAGCTTGGGGAGACTACGTTTTCAACTGTGGAAACAATGCTTTGCAGCATGCATGTTTAGGTTGCTCTCTTACTAAGTGGTGGTGCAATAATGATAGTTGCTTTCAGTTTTTGCCTTTCTTCATGTATTCATTATCCATTGCCAGAAATTACAGAAATGACTGACATCAGTAAAGTCTGTGATCTGCTTTGAGACCCTTATACAGAAACACTTGATAAACAGAATGGGTTCCATAATTAAGGAAAGATATTGACAAATTTACAGAATTGTTCCTGTAAGTTTGTCATTAATCTCTTAGCATTGTATTAATGCATAGAGTCTTCTACAGCATTCTGTAACTCATGCTGATGGGAACGATTAGTATGTATTGTTTTGTTTTTAAATGTATATTATTCAAGTAATGTCTTTTAAAGTCATCAGAAAATATAGAAGTTAAAATGGATTGAACTTTTGTTTCTCGATTATTTTTTTCAAATAGCTTTGGATGAGTGTTTTAGTTCATCTAAACATACATGGTCTCATTGGCTTTAAGACAGCTGTCTAGTGCCATGCCTTACCTCTGTAGACAGATGAAGGGGTGTCAGATGTGGGTGTGTGAAGCAGTTCTCTGAGCTGACCTGCTGTTGAAAGTTGAGTTACAGAAGCCCAGAGGCAGGTAACCAGGACCGGGGTCAAAGGCCAGCAGTGCTGTCACGTACCACATTGCCTTTCCTCCTGGCCCAGAACAACATGTTGGGATTTTTGTTTGTTTGATATTGTTTTCTGATGCTTGTTGTTTATTAGTTTTGTGTTGGCCGCTTGGGATTTATTTACCACAGCCAGAGGAGCACCAACATGAGAAGGGCTTTCTTGACTTAAAAAAAAACAAAAAAAATCTAGTGAGCATTGCTTTTTGTTGTTGTTTTAATAGAATATAGAGGATGGTTTGAGAGACTTCTTCCCCTATCAGATTGGCTAGAGTTGGGATGATGTAGGCAGACTTTTCATTCCCACCCACTAGTTCCCAGACAACCCACAGGAAGAGTTAATATTAATTGTAAGTGCTCAGCCTGTAGCTCAGGCTTGTTACTAATTAACTCGTACATTTAAATTAACCCATATTACTTATCTACCCTCTGCCATGTGGCAGTTCCTTTTCAGCAGGGCTTTTTCATCCTGCTTCTCTCTGAACTCCTCAGACTGCCCTCCTTCTTTCTAGCATTCTTCTGGCTCTTCCACCCAAACTCTTCCCGCCCAGCTGCTGGCCAGTCAGCTCTTTTATTAAACCAACCAGAAGGTGCCTTGGCAAAGACACGTCTTCACAGTGCACAAAAAGATTATTCCATAACAGGATGATTTGTTGGTAACCACACCAGTGTCTGCTTCAGTCAGGTCTGGGCATGGTGGTCACCTAGGGCTCATTTCTTCTTTTGCAATAGAAGATGGAGCATTGCCAGGTGCTGGAAGAGCTATGATTGCAGAAGCTGGCTATTGAAGAGGGACTCGAGAGTAAGATGCGCCATGTAGTACATGTTCAGAGTCCTTTTTTCTTTTGCTGTTAAAATAAAGTCAGAAAAATTAGTTGTAGCAAGTTTGTTTTCTAAGGTTTTGTAGATTGAAAGAATCTCCTTGGTTTGAATTTAGCATAGTGTCTCAGTGGCAATTTTTCAACATCTCAGACTGTTCGGACAGTTTTCATATGGGAGTAGTCTCTGGTCTAAGTGGAATCCAGCCATATCGAGAGGGACTTCTGCTGTCAACTCTGTCTGCCCTCCTGTCTGTGGCTCATTCTGAAGATACTTGGCAAGTTTTGCAGGAGTGTCTTCACACATCCTTCATGTTTGGGTTCATGTTTTCCTCATTTTTACTATAGATGTTGCAGTGTTTAGTATTTGGGTTGGAGTTGTGAGGAAGAATGCTGTTGTTTCTTTAATTTCATCTGCCTCAGCATCTGGTTGGTGTCCATTTCAGTCTTCCAACCATACCCATGTCATAGAAGGGGCATTCATGGGAGTGGAGCTCGAGTTTTCCTGCCTGGCCCACAGTCAGGACAAATCTCTGTCACCTGCCAGTCCCACAGCTGCTCAGACCCAACTAAGTAAACACAGAGACTTATATTGCTTACAAACTGTATGGCCGTGGCAGGCTTCTTGCTAACTGTTCTTATATCTTAAATCGACCCATTTCTATTCATCTATACCTTGCCATGTGGCTCGTGGCTTACTAGTATCTTCACATGTTGCTTGCATTGGTGGCGGCTGGCAGTGTCTCCCTCTGCCTTCCTGTTCTCTCCATTCTCCTCTGTTAGTCCTGCTTATACTTCCTGCCTGGCTACTGGCCAATCAGTGTTTTATTTATTGACCAATCAGAGCATCACATTTGACATACAGACCATCCCCCAGCACCTGTGGGAGCGATCTCACTACACAGCTGCTTGTGCTCCTGCGGCAGGTGCTCTTCACTCTGGACAGGAGGAGCTGTGTGGATGGTGTCTGTGTGTAAATGCCAGAAAAATGTTCCATTTGTCTGGGTTTTGATACCTTTAAAAAAAAACTGCTACTTAATCAATCAGCTACTTAATCAACTTTGATATCTCTTAACCAGGGGGATGCAGGTTTTCCTTTTCTTTGTGTTCTAAGCCTGTCTGGAGAACTTTCCATAGGTCAGCAACAGAAATTTCAGTAGTTGTTTTTTTGCATTCTATTTGCAGTGGAGGAATTGACAGCTTCCTCATTGTGGGAAACAGTTTTCTGCATTTTGTAATATCGTCAGCAAACAGACTGCAGGTGTTTGATTTCTCTAGATTAGTAGCTAACTCAGGTTAGTTTTGATTCGTGGCAGAACACTTGACAGTGACTTTCTTGAGTAATCTGAGAGGTTTCAGAGTAAGTGTTGGCTATTGTAGATGCTGTGCTGCTTGGGTAGATTTAGTGTCGGGGAGACTGACAACACTGTCATGTTTGTATTTTCTACAGACAATGGGATGAGCAGTTGGATCCTCGGCTAAATGCAAAACAGAAGGAAGCTGTTCTGGCCATCACCACGCCGCTCTCCATCCAGCTGCCGCCCGTCCTCATCATCGGACCCTATGGGACAGGCAAAACCTTCACACTGGCTCAGGCCGTCAAGCACATACTGCAGCAGCAGGAGACGAGGTGAGCCGGAGGAGGTGGTCCCCTCGCTCCCTAGGCAGACACAGCCTCTCTTGTTGTCGTAGAGATAGAATGAGGGCCAAGGAGACAATTTATCCAGCTCTTACTCATTAAAGGAAAAGTAAGACCTCAAAGCCATGAAGTTTGTATTGTGTTAAAATATGCTGTTTTCGAAGTTGGCAATGTAGACAATGATAGTTTTTAACATAGCTATCAAAACGTCAAGTCTGCCGAGGGATGGGATATGGTAGAACTCAAAGAGCTGGTTTAAAGTGTTTATTATGGACAGATTTAAAAATTATTGGGGGGAACTCCTCTTTGGCTTAGAGTAACATACTCTCCTAAAGGCATCATGGGGTCCTGGTGAAGAATCTGAGCAGAGTGAGGGAAGTAGACGTATAAGATGGCCACTGCTCTTTTGGTATTATATACTGCTTGACTAGCTTTGTGTTGTGTCATTCTTTTTATTTGCACCATTTATTTCAGCAGGATTCTCATTTGCACCCATTCTAATAGTGCTGCTGACCTCTACATAAAGGATTATTTACATCCATATGTAGAAGCAGGCAATCCCCAGGCAAGACCTCTCAGGTATTTTTAAGGCTTATTATGTATCTGTATCGTTCTTTGTTATTCTTAAGAAAAGGTGTCTGTAAAGATTTTAGAGGCTTTGGAAACACCTAAAGCATTAACTGTGCATTGGCATTTGGAGGTTATGTCTTTGGAAGAAATCCTTAAATTAAGGCAAAATGTAAAAATTGTTGACCATTTCTGAAACATTATATATACAGAAAGACATCCTTTTTTAAGTTTCTTGTGTAAAACTGTTGTTACGGTTGGAGTAGATTTTGGTATGTACATCTAAAAAATAGTGTAAGATAAGTGATTAGCTTGCATCAAATTTTGAAGTTTGATTAAACTTCTAGCATGTTTTGCACAGCAGAGTAGTCATGGAATGACAGTTCTTGTCAGAGTACAATTCTAGCTGTGGTCACTTCTTGGAAGCTGCACGTTAGAGAAGCAGAGGCACTTCAGTGACTTCTGCAGCACTGTGATGACATGGTCAGGACTTCTTGCTACCATGGAAGAGAGAGAGTAGCAAAGGAAATTTTCCGTTGCTATAGAAAGGTCCAGTGATTATATGTGGATATAAAATGTACTTCAATATAGATTGTGGGAGAATAAAAATCCTTTTCTTCAGAAAACAATAAAGAATCATAAATACTTTTTTATTATACCATTTGCTTTTGTTGTTTGTTATATGAATTAATAAGTTTTACCATTCTGCAAACTAATATATCATGGCCTAGGTTGTTCAAATGATTATTAATTATTGCTTAAAATTAATTTCTAACTGCACTTAGATCCATAATAGACTAACCTCTTATTCCTAGTTGAGTCCAGGCATGGAAACATGGAGTTATGCTATTTAATTCTTTAATTCCTGTCACCAAAACCTTTTGAAAGTGTTTAGAACAGGGGCATGGCCTGTTAACACAGATGTCCATGCTGTGTTGTACCTCACTCTAAAAGACAGCAGAAAGTATCAGTTCAGTAGAACCCAGTTATGTGTAATAATAAAATACTGACCGCTTATTCTCTAAGTGAAGACAAGATGTTTACTGAAGGATCCTTTCACAGTAGATTGCAGATTTTAACCTCTGACCTCACAGTGAAAGTGGAAGAGCTAGCCTTTTTACCTTGAGTGTTCTTACTCTAATGAAGAAGAGCTGATGGTCTTCTTTACTTGTAGTGGTGGTAGAACATACTGTGTGTGTGTGTGTGTGTGTGTGTGTGTGTGTGTGTGTGTGTGTGTGTTGCATAGAAAATGTGGCAGTCTTGGATATCATTGGTTTCTTGGCTTAGAAACAGTGGAGTGAAGCTGGTGGTGGTGCCGCTGCCGCACACCTTTTATCCCAGCACTCAGGAGGCAGAGGCAGGTGGGTCATTATGAGTTTGAGGCCAGCCTGGTCTACAGAGTGAGTTACAGAACAGCCAGGGCTACACAGAAAAAAACCTGTCTGAAAAAAAACAAACAACAAAAAAACAAGCCAAACAAAAGCAGAACAATTGAGTGAAATGTTGGACTTAGCGTAGGATATTTGAGATTTGAGATAGTAGACTCCATCATTTTTCCAGCTTATATAGCCTTCCATGTGCATTGGGCTGTGAGGATCCACCATGACATATGTCTCCATATGTGTAATATGATTTTCTAGTAGAGTATAGTCAGAGTGGTCCAAATACAGAAACTTGTCCAGTAGCAGAGATCTCACTTTTTCTTAGCTCTAGAGTTCTTGAATCCAAGATGGAAAAATAATTATTTTCAAATGCAAGGTTCAGGTTATTTCATTCGTAAACAGAATAAAATGGAAAAATGCCTAGCTTCCTCGAGTGTTTCTTTATACAACACCCTACATACTGTAGCTTTTCTCTCTAGGAAAGGTGTTAGCTTGCAGCTGGAGCCTAGGAGGATCTGTGTCTTGAGTTCTTAGTCTGCATTATAACATTAGCTCAGATTAGTTGATAGTTTTCCTACTGAATAATAACCATGATAGGTTTGGGAGCTAGAGAGGATTAGAATGATCTGGGAAGTTGAGCTTCTCTGAGGGTTTTGCTTTTTCTTGGGGTGGTCCTGGGATGGAACTTCACACTTGTCACACCCCTAGCCAGAGGGAAAAAAAAATCAGCGTTACTGACATTGTTCTGGAATTCGAGAGATGGAACACAAGAGGGCACCAAATGTCTACAGATTCCCAAGAAGAAAGCTCTTGCTGGGAAGGCAGGCTGATAGAATTGGCTGCTTCTCAGGCCTGTAGTGTGGAGTTGGTTCTGGAAAATAGTTAAATAGTCAGTGAGTAAATATAGTCGTAAGTATGGGTAAGCACACATTCTTAGGATTAGAATTCATGAAATTTGTTTTAGTTGCCAACTGAGCCTAAAGTATTTGGAGTTCTTAGACAACATTTTAGATTACATTGAGTTTTGGTTTACTTTATTTAGAATTGGGAGATTTATATACATGTTCATATATCACATATATTTGCACTCCTCCCCCCACAGATAGATAAATAAATAGACAAATGAGTAGAATTCAGAGATTTTACCAAAAAAGAAATATAGAAAGCCAGATGAGGAGTGGCACATGGCTGTCATACCAGTACTTATGAGGTAGAAGCTGGTGAATTACTGCAAATTTGAGGTCATCCTTGTCTATATCAGGAGACAACGAGAGCTACATAAGGAGACTTTGTCTCAAAGTTACAAAACAAACAAATAAAAACACAAGGAAAAGAAGTGTGAGGAAAGCAGTTTCTTTTTGCATGTGGCTCTGAGGCTCAGTTTCTGACCCCGGCAAGGTCATAGTGCAGTGGGGCAGTCCTCTGGAGGAAGTGTGCTTGCTGTTGTCTGGGGAACTTGAAGGAAGCTGTCATTTTGGGGACTCTTTAAAAAAACACTTTTTTGTTGTTTTGTTTAAAGGGATCATCAGTTTTTGACAATTCCTGTTCTAAGTTATAACTTTTTTTGGTTTGTTTGTTTTTTTGAGACAGTGTTTCTTTTGTGGCTCTGGCTGTCCTGGAACTCACTAGGTAGACTACGATGGCCTCAAACTCACAGAGATCTGCCTGCCTCTGCCTTTTGAGTGCTGGGATTAAAGGCTTGGGCCACCACCTGGCTAGTAGTAACATTTCTAGTTGCTTATGGCATATGAATTTACTACATGTACAGTAATACTTTGGTTTGAAAAGTGTTACCTTGATTTTATATTTCTTCCTCTACCTTTGTAAACACTACCCCAAATTATCTAGTTTCAGTGAATTAAAATTATATATACCAGACTATCTTCTGTTTCAAGGTTTACTCTAAATCCTATGGAATATATGAATTGGTTTGTTTCTAGGGATACATAAAATATTTAATTGCTGTCACGTATATATTTATGTATGTTATTTTTCCCCCGTGGTGCTAGGAACTCAGGGCTTTGAGCGTATTAGGCTTTATCCCCTGAGCTACATTTATATTCTCAGTGATGTATTTTGGATTATGAACTGAAAAGTGTCATTTACCAGTGTTAATACTATGGTTTGAAAAATATCACATTTATTATATTTCTTCCTCCACCTTTGTAAACACTACCCCAAATTATCTAGTTTCAAAAGCTAGAGGCAGGTGACTGTAATCCAGCACTCGGGAGGTAGAGGTGGGTGGACCAGGAGTGCAGGTCATACCCCATCCATTGGTAGTGAGGTTGAGGCCAGCCTTGATGATCTCAGACGCTGTTTCAAAAACAAAAATGAAACATAGAATCATAGTTCATTAATGAGTTCTATTAACATTACATTAAAATGTCTAGTGAATCCAATTTGTGTATTTCTTCTGTGATCCAAGCCACATGATCTCCTGTCCAGTCCCTGGCATTAACCTCCTAACTTGCCTCCCTGCTGCTTCTGTACCCTGCTTTCCCCTCCACCTCACTTGGGATTGTGTTAGAGTCAACCTGTATGAAGACTGTCATGAGCACATCTTTCCATGTCCCTGCAGATGCCTGGAAGCTGGCCAAGGGAGTAGATTTTGCATCACAGAAGCCAGCAGTGCTGGAGCCCTGCCCCCACCTGCTTGTCAGACATTGAGCACCCTTTAACTCTCTCCCTAAGGAGATTCTGCACAGAGATCAGACTTGTCTTTTAACAACAGGAGTCGTCATGACTGCCCTGGCCAATCCGATGGCTTTTCATTAGACTCAGAGTAAAGCCTTTGTGGTTGCTCCAAAGCCCTGTACACTCTGCCTCTGTGCTGTAGCATAGTTAGCAGCCCGTAGATCCCTGTCATGTGGGTCAGTGGGGATGGTGGAGGCTAGAAGTACATCAGATCAGAGCAGTCTAGAGCTGAGGCCTGTTCATAGTTTCTACTGTAGTTATTTGAAGAGATGAAATTTCTTAAGATTTGCACTAAAGAATTTTTGATTATTCAAAAATTTAATTCATCTTCAGATTCTAGAAGACCAGGCAGATGTCTTTTTTTTTTTTTTGGTTTTTTGAGACAGGGTTTTTCTGTGTAGTTTTGGTGCCTGTCCTGGAACTCACTCTGTAGACCAGGCTGGCCTCAAACTCACAGAGATCTGCCTGGCTCTGCCTCTCGAGTGCTGGGATTAAAGGCGTGAGCCACCGCCGCCCGGCCCAGGAAGAGGTCTTTTTAAAAAGTTTAAAGAACTTTTCTAAAGTAAAATTATTGCAAATTGTTCTCAACTAAAAGTGTTATAAGCATATACTTTTACAAAATATGAGTTAAGTACATTTTTGTAAGAATGTAATTGAGAAAAGGTAATTTGAGAATGAAAGGTTTCAAACTTAATTTTTAAAATTATTGCTTGTAAAACATACATTTCTGTGTTAATTCTGTTGCAAGATTAGTCTGAATACTTAAAAAATTTGATATTTATTTTGTGATTTATTTTTATATCTTTGTGTTTATATCTACACTTTATGTTTATATCTTCTAAAATATTTGATAGGAAGGTCATTGTGGGTATAGTGGCAGTTTTATACTAAAATTCTAACTCTAATATGGTGTGAATGATTATGAGATTTATTTGTTAATTTTTGGCCTTGTAGTCTTAACATACTAGTCCAGTGTTTTAATAGTCAGCTGCCGGGACCATCCTAACAGGAAGTGTGATCTTCTCTCGTAGGGTGTACTTTCGGAACCGCTGGGTGAAGACTGTCCACCCGCTTGTGCACCAGTACTGTTTGATCTCAAGTGCACATTCCACCTTTCAGATGCCCCAGAAGGAGGACATTCTTAAACATCGAGTGCTGGTGGTCACCCTGAACACTTCCCAGTACCTCTGCCAGCTGGACCTTGAGCCCGGTATGCCCACTCACCACAGGTGGCTGTCTCTCAGGCTTAGAGTATTCTCTCCTTTGGCAAGTGCTGTCCTGTGGGCCAGGTCTGCCAAGTGTCTCTTTTTCTGCATGGAATGCAGCTGCCCGTGCCCGTTTATTAACTTGGTTCTTGTCTGCGGTGCAAAGCTGAGGCGGGCTCTTCAGCAGGGACGGGAACTCTTTGGCCCTTGACCGAAAAGCATTCCTTAGCCCCCGGATGGTCACCTTCGTGACCGCCACTTCATTTGTGCTCTAGCTGGCCAGGTGGTTCTGGTTAATTAATGATTGTGTGAAGAGTTCACATTTAGACGGTGGTGTGTGTGTGTGTGTGTGTGTGTGTGTGTGTGTGTGTGTGTGTGTGTGTGAGATTTGGTGAGGGTTTGGCTAGGCTGCTTTTGTATCTTGTCATGTAGAAATAACAATCGTGGCACATGATTAAGATTTCTTTCTTCTTTTTGCGGGGGTGCGGGCGTGGGGGGTGGGGGTGGAGACAGGCTTTCTCTGAGTAGCCCTGGCTGTGCTGGAACTCACTCTGTTGATTAGGCTGGCCTCAAGCTCAGATCTCCTTGCCTCTGCCTTTTCTAACTTAAGTAGTAGACAATTTCAGGATTTATGCAATTCCTGAAAAAAAAAAATGGTAACAAAAGAAAATGTTTAATCTTTTTCTTGTAAAACATTAAAAACATTTATTTTTTAGTACTCTGTATATGAGAGAGTATGTGTACGTTTGTGTGTATGTGTCTGTGTGCAGAAGGTATCAGTTCCCTGGAGTTACAAGTAGTTGTGAGCCATCCGTCATGGGTGCTGGGAACCAAACTCAGGTCCTCTACAAGAGCAGTGCATTTGCTCAGCTGCTGAGTCACCTCTCCAGCTCCAGCCTTTTTAAAGACTCATGCTTAAGCTGATTGTCTAGATTGAGGAAGGCCTTAAAGTCCTCATGACTCTTGGACTAGTGGAGGAAACTCTTCCCGTAGTGCAGTTGGAAGCATCTGCTGCTGTGCTGCCGCTGTGATGTGTGTTCTCTTTGCACTGTGCCTTCCAGGGGTTTTTACGCACATTCTGTTAGATGAAGCTGCCCAGGCCATGGAGTGCGAGACCATTATGCCTCTAGCCTTGGCAACGAAAGACACGCGGATTGTTTTGGCTGGTGATCATATGCAGGTAGGTGTCACCTTAGCCACTGTCTTGCAAGGTGTATTTTGATGGTTAGTATTCTTCTGTTTCTAAAATACCAGCTGTTACCAGAGCACAGCCCCTTCTGGGACTCCTAACTAGCTGGGTTGGCCTCTGTTATAAAGGAAACAGGTGGGAAAACTGGTGAGGGGCAGGAAAGGAGCCTCAACTTGTGTGGCAGCAGCGGTGGGGCTGCCAGCGTGGCAGCAGCCTTGAGGACAGGACAGGACAAGGCAAAGGGTGTATCTAGCAGAGTCTGCCAAGGGCCCTGTAATAGCTACTTCTAATATCTGTTTTTGTGCAGGGTTAATTTTTTAATAGCATATGTAATAAAACATACAATTAAAATTATAGTCACAGGTTCAAAGACTATGTCGGATTTTATGTTATCTGCATACGTACATGTAAAGAGAGAAGCATCTGTGGTGTTGTCTGTCATGCTGTTTGGAACTTGTCCTGCTTCTTCAGTGGGTTGGGGGCCTGCAGAGCAGGTTCGAGTCTTCCAGTGTACAGAAGGAGTTTTGTGCTCCTGCTTTGCCTGAAGTAGTTAGTGTGATTTTTAGCAGTAAAAGGTGTAGCCTTGAGTGGCTCTTTATACTTCTTGAGATCAAGGAGGCTGTTTATCATTTTTTTTATTAAAAGGAAATTTTCTTACTATATTTTACCATTTATTTATTGACTTAAGGCTAGTTACATAACCCTTTTTGTAGTTTTTACAAGTTAATTTAAAAAATACTTATCTGTATGTGTGTACGGGAGTATATCTATATGCCCCATGCGCATGCAGTGCCAGTGGAGGTCAGAAGAGGATGTGGGACTTGAACCCGAGTCCTCTGCAAGAGCAGTGAGTGCTCTTGGCCTCCGAGCTGGGTCTCCATTCCTTTAAAGTTCATTTTTAAGGTTAGCATGTGGTGTAGTAGATTTCATTGTGGAAAAAACTTGTTGATTATTAATATTTGTTCATCATAGTCGAATATCTTATGAATTAATTTTATTTATTCATTCATTCATTTACTTATTTATTGAGACAAAGTTTTACTGTGTATTCCAGGCTAGCCTCAAACACAACACTTTGGCATCAATCTCTTAAGTTCTGTGATTCAGGGCTGGGGAGATGGCTCAGTGGTTAAGAGCATTGGCTGCTCTTCCAGAGGTCCTGAGTTCAATTCCCAGCAACCACATGGTGGCTCACAGCCACCTATAGTGGGATCTGATGCCCTCTCTGGCATAAGGTTGTACACTCATAGACATTAAATAAATAAATAAATCTTAAAAAAAAAGTTCTGTGATTCAGCTGTGTGTCACAACATCCAGTCTGAATTTATTATTTTATTTTTAAAGTAAATCCTTTAAAAACATAATTTATTTATTTAGTGTGTGTGTGTGTGTGTGTGCACACGCGCATGCATGCATGCATACATACATGTTGTGCATGTAGAGGTCAGAGGATAACTTGCAGCAGTCAGTTCTCTCCTTCCACCAGCTGGGTTGTCAGGATCAAACTCCAGCCATCAAGTTGATGGCAATCCTCTTTACCCCTTGAGCCATCTCATCAGCCCCCAAAGTTTATATTTTAAGAACTGATTGGTTTTGATGAAGTAACTGATTTACGCTCTTTAAATTAAGTTGTGTAGGAGGGGCCCTGTGTAACTGTAGAACTCGAGACTCTCTTACTGCACTACACTCAGTAGGAATTGTCATCTAATCCCTTGTATTAGTGTATAAATTGGTTTGTAGACAATATGAGTAATTTTTGGGAGGGCTTGCTCCAGCATTCAGCATGTTAAATACATGAGAAGTTTTAGTGTAGAAGACTGTATAAGTAGATTTAAAAGTACTGTTTTTATATCTGGTTAAATTTTTTTTGTATGTTTGTCTGTTACAGCTCAGTCCTTTTGTTTACAGCGAGTTTGCCAGGGAGAGAAACCTTCACGTTTCATTACTTGATCGACTCTACGAGCATTACCCTGCCGAGTTTCCATGTAGGATCCTCCTCTGTGAGAACTACCGCTCCCATGAAGCTATCATCAAGTAGGTGTGAGCTGTCCCTCCAACTCACGCTTCCTGTGGGCTGTGGGAGGGAAGCCGGACAGCACCTGGCCAGGCGCAGGTGACTTTAGGTGGATTATTTGTGATCTCTGAGTGCTACAGACTATGCCTGACTTGTGTTTTTAAAAGAATACTTCAGAATCTAGTGCTGTGAGTCTTCATAAGAAATAATGCAGTATGAGCACCAAAACTTCAGATTCTACTGGTCATGATACACTTTTCTATGAATTAATACGTAATCTGTATGAAGAATGACATGCCTGTGTTACTGGTCATGATACACTTTTCTATGAATTAATACATACTCTGTATGAAGAATGACATGCCTTCTTCACCTATTTGAAGAGAAAGGGAGGCAATGGAAGGAGAAACCTCTAACACAGTTTTATAGACTCCTTTTAAATACAGTCACATGTATAAAAGAGTCATCCTCTGCATGACATCTGGGTGACTGAGTTCCAGCTGAAGGAGTAGAGCCTGGCCACCTGGGAGCCCCTATGCGCTCTTTGCCAGTCAACACCCACCCCAGAAACAAGCTGTGAAAGCTTCCTATAATTTAGTAATACCTGTTCTATCATGCCTGTGGAAACCATTTTTGGATCTCACTGGAAGCATTGCATAGATTATGTTCTGTCACCATCTCACACTGTCATCTCTTTTCATAGTTCCATCCATTTGTAGTCAGTGATGAGTTTAGTACTAGACAGTGTGTTCCCTTTACAGTTGGAGACTGCAGTCAGTGCATTGTATCCAAGTCTGTGCATTTTTGTATTTGCATGTGCAGTCACCTTCACTTAACCTTAGGCTGCAGTCTGAGACCTGTCATTAGAATTTTGTTATTGTGTGAGTATCATAAAATGCTTTTCACAGACCTAAACAGTAACCGGTCTCCTAACTCGGTCTCGTGATGAACATGAGATGTAGGAGACTGCCGGTATGATGTGACAGACCACTCTACAGACATGTTTTTATAAGTGGAAAGGTACACTTGGAAATAACAAACTAGAGTAAGTGCATAAAGCAATAGAATTGTTCTTTGGAACTGACCTACTGTGCATCACTGTCCTTTGTGGGTTTCTGCCCAGCATCATCACAGAGGCGGGGACCTCTTGCTGCTGTGATTTGGATATGCTAGGAGGTTTTCAACTCTGGTATAGGCCATGGGGTCTGTTGTTGATCAAAAGGGTTGTTAGGTGATACATGGCAGTGTATGATCCACATGAGTGAGATTACATGTTAACTAAGAAAACGCAGCTCAGGGATTTTTTTTTTTCCCTCAGAGCAGAGAGTTCAGCTAGTAGTGAATGCTCATCATTTCTTTTGTATTCTGGCTTCATTTCTTACAAGATGGATGCATTTAACAATGGTGTTATAGGGACCTTCTCTGTTACCACTGTCCATATTTTTGGGAAATTATTGGCATCATGAGTATTCAATGTTTGGACAAAAATTAATTGTGGACATAAATTAGTATTAGAATTCAATGGGTTTTTGTGTAGGTGAAATAAATTAATTTGGCTGATAGATTCCTTTGTTCTTTTCTTTTTCTGCAGCTATACCTCTGAGCTTTTCTACGAGGGTAAACTGATGGCCAGTGGAAAGCAGCCAGCACACAAGGACTTCTACCCACTAACGTTTTTTACTGCACGAGGGGAAGACGTACAAGAAAAAAATAGCACAGCCTTTTATAACAATGCAGAGGTATCTTAGTTCTTCATGCTGATTTTAATCTTTTCTTGGTCTGATTCTGTTGAGCATTCATTTCAAATTCAGGGTTGACAGTTTATAGTGTGTTGATTTCCTTTACAAGAAAATTGAGCAAACTTTACATTTATTTATTAAGATGAATCTACAGGAGAAAAAAATTTGTTTTTCTTTTTGTAATAATTTAAAAAGACACAACTTTGTTAGAAAAAGCCAACATATTCTGACATAGAGCATTATTGGCTCAAGTCTAAAACAGACTGGTTAAATTTCTAGCTTAAAGGAGACATCATTTTGAATGAGAAAAAGTTGAATTACAGAATACTGTGCTTTGGAGAGGCAACACAGTCTTCAACATTGGCCTCACTGTCTCATCAGGGGCTCTGTAATATGCTCTTCCAGTTGCTGCTTTCCAGAGAGAGTGTGGGTGTCCTGAGGGTCAGATCAGGCAGTAGGCAAACTCGCAGACTAGGAAGCCTGTGGTTAAGGTTCCAGCTGTCACAGGAAGGTGAAGAAAGTGTGTGTGTTTCATTCCTAATCTCGGCTCACTGTATTTACAGAGAAACGGCTTTTGTTACATAACAGGAACTCCTATGCCCCTTTAACAACTGAGCAGGGGGTTAGAGTTTAGAATATAGTGCCATGTGCTTAGACCCTAGCCTCAAGCCAAGAAGCCTGACGTTTTCATTAGTCTGTGCCATTTAATTTTAGGAACAGGTAAACTTTTCTTTAAAGATAGCAAGACTGAAGGTAGCTGTACAGCTCTTTTTGTTGTTTTTGCACTCAGGCTGGAAGTCTGGAAGTCGGTCTTAGTAAGAGGGAGGACTGACAGAGTAACAAGCAGAGCCTACATTCTAGAAAGGTGCTTAGGTCCTCATGTGGCACCAGGGATCATAGCCAAGCAACTGGGCCCTTGTCCCTTCATGGTATGTTTTCAGGTATTCTTCAAGCTGTAGGTTATGTAGAGCATGACTCTACTGGACTGAAAGTATTTTGGGAAAAATTCTTTTTATGTTATGAAAATGCAAAGACAACATTTGTGCTACTTTTAAATATTAAACATGTAACTTTAAAGAAATTTCAAGAGACTTTGAACTTACCCAGAGCATGGTTGTTTAGTCACGCGAGTTACTGCTGTCAAAATTTTTTGAGGTACATTGCCCAGGGCTTTTTCCACAGATAGAAAACTAGATTCCAGTTTACTGTAGCTGAGTCTCAAGGGAAAAAAAAATTAGAGTATATATTAATTAGATAATTAATGATATTAATTTCATACATATATATAATATATTTTGATCATATTCACAAACCCTGCATTGTTTCAAGACAGAGTCTCACTATGTAGCCTTGGCTGGCCTGGAAATTACTGTGTAGACCAGGCTGGCTTTGAATTCACAGAGATCTGTTTGCCTTGCCTCTCAAGTGCTGGGATTAAAATCAGGCACTACCACACTTGGGCTTTCTTTAATTATTTCATTTATATTGATAGACCCCAGACCCAGGGTACTACCTTCTCAAGGGGGCGCCCTAAGAACCCAGACTCCGATCCAGTTGATGCAACAGCAGGAGGTGTTTATTAATGCGGCTGTACAGTCGGGCTAACTCAGCTCCAAAGAGCAAGAGTCGCGTCTATTGCAATCACATGGGTACTTTTAAAGGAAAAACCCACAAAAGACCCACAAAAGCCCTAAGATTACAATTCCCATACAATTTCATGGCCTGATCACAGGGTGATCACAGAGTGGGTACAGTCACGTCCGCATGAACATTCTTCCTGAAACCTCAAGGGGGGTATCAGGGCAGGAGTGGAGTTTACACAAAGGTCACAGTGGTCCTTTCTGGAACACTTGCAACTATCCCAGTCACAGTTGAGCATTTCTCTTAACAGAAATCTCTTTACATTGTTACATTGTGGCAGGGGTGGTTGAATAATGGCTGAGTCAGGTTGCCCTTGGAACTAGTTTTCTTTTTAGTTCCTTATTCTCCTGGGGCTTGGGTGTGTGTGTGTAAGCCTGAAGGGTTAGGGTCTTTCAATATATACATGTATGTATTTGTTTATTTAAATGTACTTGCTTGTTTTACTATTATTATTTTTAATCACAACTTTTATTTTGAGATTCTTTCTTTCTTTTTTTTTTTTTATTTTTTGGTTTTTAGAGACAGGGTTTCTCTGTGTAGCTTTGCGCCTTTCCTGGATCTCGCTCTGTAGACCAGGATGGCCTCGAACTCACAGAGATCCTCCTGCCTCTGCCTCCCAGTGCTGGGATTAAAGGCGTGAGCCACCACCGCCCGGCTATTTTGAGATTATTAATTATATCATTTCCCCCTTCTCTTTCCTCCTAATTCCTTCATATATCCCCTTACTCTCTTTGAAATTCATGGCCTCTTTTACTTTGTTTTATACACATGTATGTATGTATATATGTATGTATGTATGTATGCATGTGTGTATATGTGTGGGTGTGTGTATCTCTATAAATTCCCCCCTAAATATATAAATACAAGCTGCTTAGTCTGTATAATATTACGTGTATGTTTTCAGGGCTGACCTTTTGGAATTGGGTAACTGATTGATGTGCTCTTCCCTGGGGCAGACCATTTCTCTTGCTCTCAGCATCCCTCAGTTGCCTCTAGTTCTTTGTCTAGGATAAAGGTGTAATGAACTTCCCCCTTCCATGTTTGCTGTCTATTGGTATTATCCTTGCTCAGGTCATATTAATGCAATCATGTTAGTCAGACTTTATGGGTTAGCTTCTCTGACGTTTCTAGGAGACAAATTCTCATAGCAAATTTCCTGTGCCTCTGGTTTTTAAAATCTTTCCACACCTCTTCTGAAATAATTCCTGAGCCTCAGGTCCAGGAGTTGTGTTATGGATAAGTATCAGTTGGAACTGGACTTTACAACTCTGCATTTTCATCAACTCTGGTTTTCTGTTAATGTTGAGAAATTTCCTTGATTGAAGGGTGAGGATTACACTTACTTTTGGATATAAGGATAAATATTTAGATTTAACTAGGGATTATACTGGATTAGTAAAATAGTGATTGTAGGTTCTCCTTCAAGATCCATGACTTCACTAGCCCTGGTTAGGTGGCTAGGTTTCCAGTACCAGGAATGATTTCCCTCTTGTTGAGTGGGTCTTAAGTTCAATTCTGGATTTGTTGGTTACTGCCAAGGCATGTGTGCCAGTACTGTGTCCTTAGGATTACCATGCCATGCTGGTTGTTTATGGTTCATAGCTGGATAGGACCATTGGTTGCTTTTTTTCCTTTTGGAGCTTCCATGGCGCCTTCTTGTACCACAAAAGTTGTGGTACCACAAAAAGTGGTCCCCAAGGAGGAGGATTTCATGTCTGATCCAGCTGTGTCCTCTGGGTCCTGTGTCCCAAGTGCATGGTGTCTTCAGCAATAGGGATTTATCTGCCACCTCTGGGGGTAACAGCTATAGCTTATATATTGTATTAGGAGTCTCTTAGACAACCTTGAAGAGTATCTCAAAAGAGTGCTTCTCATACCTAGTGCTGGTGTTTTGTTAGATCATCTATGATGGCTCTTGTGGGGATCATTGTCAGCTTAGATGTGGAAATTTCATTTAAATTATATAAGTGTATGTGTATGCAAACTTGCATGTATTGTATATTTAGTTGTCTATTAGTTGTCTAAGAATGTCTCTATGGCCAGCCGTGTGTGTGTGTGTGTGTGTGTGTGTGTGTGTGTGTGTGTGTGTGTGTGTATATATATATATATATATATTCAGGATCTCTTTCAGATTTATCTAACTGAATTTCAGGGGTTATGGAGAAACCCTCCATAGCTGACATCTACTCTCCCCTTTTCAGCTTCCGTTCTCATACATGTTATGTCGGTGCTTCATAACCCGAAAGATACTTTGTTCAAGTGTGTGTGTGTGTGTGTGTGTGTGTATGTGTGTGGACAACTCCAAGAGGAGAGACGGGACAGACACAGAGTTTAATTCCCCCTGTGGGGAGATTCAATGTGTTGAACATGCTAGTTATGTCACCACCAAGCTGCACTCCCACTTAGCCCTATGTTACTATTCCTGTTGAGTGTTTATGATCTCGTCACCTCTCTGTGGTTTGAGTGACTACCTGGCATAATTGTTCACCTGCCTCTTGTGTGCGGACTGTCAGCACACAGTGTATTTATGTGTTGTAGCTTGACGTTATTTTATTTATTTTTTTTTTTTATTTTTTTTTTCCGAGACAGGGTTTCTCTGTGTAGCTTTGCGCCTTTCCTGGAGCTCACTTGGTAGCCCAGGCTGGCCTCGAACTCACAGCGATCCACCTGGCTCTGCCTCCCGAGTGCTGGGATTAAAGGCGTGCGCCACCAACGCCCGGCTTATTGAGGTTATTTTATACAGTTGTTCTTAAATCAGTTGAGAGGGGGAAGGAAAAGAAGCAGCTGTGTTCTGCCTTTTGTCAGGGTCAAGTCTAGCGATTTGCATTGCTGTTTGGTACCATTTGATTATAGACCGAAGAATGTCCTCTGGTGTTTCTGGTCAGCTAGTCTGCTAGTAGGGAATTCTCTCAGTTTGTTTATCTGTAAATGTGTTTATTTTCCCTCTGTTTTGAAAGTTTTGCTAGATGTAAGATTATTGGTCAGTCTCCCCCCACACCATTCCCCTTCTCTTTCTGATGAGAAGTTAATGTGTTTATCTTTATCATCTCTTTGTAAATATGGTTGTTTTTCTTTTCTTGCTTTTAAGATTTCATTTTTGTCTTTGATTTTGAGCATTTTGACTGTAATATGTCTGGGCGCACATCTTAGTGTACATCTGGGTGTATTTATTTAACTTGAAGTTCATTTTATTTACGTGTGTTTTTCATCAGGTATGGATGTATTTTAGCCATCATTTCCTTGGACATTTTTATTAGCATACATTAGCATAATTTTAAAGAGTAACAAGTTTCATCATGGCATTTTTATGCATGTACATCAAGTATTTCGGTCATGTTTACTTCTCTTCCCCCCTTTTTTTTCTCATGAGAATTATCCTTTTACATCCACACCATCTCCCCCAACCCGCCCCCAGATTTCCCATGTGAGAGACAACATATGCTATTTGTCTTTGTGAAGCTGGCTTATTTCAGATTTGATATGATAATCTAGTTCATCCATTTTCCTGCAGAAAAACGTATTTTTTCTTTTGATGGCAGAATAAAGCTCCATTTTTTTTTTGTATTTGTAAACACACATATTTGTTTGTTTTTGTTTCTCTGTGTAGCCGTGGCTGTCTTGGAACTTGCTCTGTAGACCAGGCTGGCTTTAAACTCACAGAGATCTGCCTCCCTCCCAAGTGCTGAGATTAAAGGTGTGTGCTACCACGCCCAGCCTGATTTTCTTTGGATATGTTTAATGTATTTTTTCTTATCTTCATCTGATTTTCTCTAATATTAGATAGAGGTTGGAATTGAATTATGCCCCTTTGGTAGTTTTTCTTCATCGATTTCCTCACTTTGGGTAGTATTCTCTGACTTGTCTTGTTTGCCAAGTCTTCTGTCAGCACAGATCTGTTGACTCCTGCTAGTATCTTTTCATGTCCGTTATTTTACCTTTAATTCTTTGGGGCATGAACTGTGACCCAGCTGAAGTTGGGTTTCTTGACAATGTTGCCAGTTTGTGAAGTTTACTTAAAAAAAGCTATTTATTAAAAATACAAATTTTATTTATATTAAGTATCAGTGTGGATGTCTACATTTGAGTACAAATGCCTAGGGAAACCAGAAGGAGTTTTAGATCCCCTCCCTACAGCTAGAGTTACATACAAGTGTTTGTCAGCCTCCTAGTATATGGGGGCTTGGAACCAGACTCAGGTCTTCTGGAAGACTAGAAAGTACTGTTAACTGCTGAGCCATCTCTCCAGCCTCTAGTAAGTATCTTCTGCATTTAGACCAAGGGAAGTTGGGATCCATTGATTCTCACTGGCTGCTGAATGTATATAGGATAGGGTTTTTGTCCTGAGAAAGACTGTACGCTTCTCCTGTGGTCTTCCTCAGATCTCCGCTGTGCTGTAGGAGGTGGGGACAGGGGACAGGCTCTACCCAGCTGCTGCTAGCTGCTCAATACCGGCCTTTTGCAGTAGGGAACTGTGGAAATAGAGTCTGCCAGTGTTTACTGGTTGCTCAAACCACCTGCAATGGCTTCCTCAACACAGGGATCTGAGGGATATGGAAACTGACTGCTGAAGCAGAGCTGGAAACAGTCCCCAGTGTGGATGCCCAAGCCTCCCTCTGTTCTTACTGAGGGGCTGCAGATTTCATTAAACAGACGTTTCTTTTTTGCTTGTAAGCTCCCTGATCAGTTTCTAGAGTCTTTGCTGAGTTTGACTAGTGTACAGCAGATCTGTTTGGGAGGCAGTTTTCATTTTGATACCATTTTATGCTACTTAAAATGTAAGAATATAAATGGAGTGATAGGGTAGGGCAGTGGTTAGGTTGTTGCTTCATGGTGGAAACTGTTGGGATTTTGTAGCAGAGTATCTCCTGTGTTTTGTTTGCCCCACATCTGTCCACACAGGCAAAGACATGCTATTCATATTCCTTACTGCAGTAGACATTATAATTTCAAATAGAAATTGTTAGTAAATACTAAATAAATACTATAGTTAAAAGACATCATTTAAAAATTTCCACTTCAGCTGTATGACACTAGAATCTTGCCTGACTCTGGAATAAACTTGCCAGATAGAGATAGATAGATAGATAGATAGATAGATAGATAGATAGATAAAAACTTGCCAGATAGAGATAGATAGATAGGTAGATAGATAGATAGATAGATAGACAGACAGACAGACAGACAGACAGACAGAAAGTAGATAGGTGTGTAGGTAGATAGATAGGATTGTTTTCTAAGTAATAATCTCTTAGGAGTTATGAACATGTCTTATTAATCTGAGCCAAGCAACTTGCTATATGTAATCTATAGGAAAGTTCATGCGATGACTTGGCTGAACTTTGTACCACAAGTAGGGAACAGACTCGGAAAAGTCTGTTTGAAGTTTATCGTAATCCTAGCTGAGGTTTGTGTCACCTAGCAGCTGGTGGATGGTCCTACTTAGTTCTATCAGTATGGGACGAGGGGGACTCAGTGGAATCTTCTGGTTGGGTGGGTAGTTTCCATGGCTTGCTCGAGAGTGGACTGAGAAGCACCAGGGTGGCGTGGACTTGCTTCCCTGTTTTCCCTACATTGGTAATTCTATCCTGTTTTTCTGTAACATTCCAGCCCTTTTTTACTTTAAGTATGGGGGATGTGGAACACTGGCCACTTGCCCAGCATGATGTCTTGGTTTCAGTGTTTCCACTAGTCATATTATAGGATTTTACTGTTTGAAATGTGAGTACAATGTTACCTTCCTTACTATGTTCATGTCAGGAATGTACTACTCCCATTTGTAGGTTGGTTTTTAAATGACATTTACCAAAATGCAGCCCAGTATCAGTCCGCTTCAGTTACCATATTCTTTGCCCAAACACCAGTGCTAATTTTAAAAAGTCTGTTTGTTTGAAGGTATTTGAAGTGGTGGAGCGTGTGGAAGAGCTAAGAAGGAAGTGGCCAGTTGCCTGGGGGAAGTTAGATGATGGCAGTATTGGTGTGGTGACTCCATATGCTGACCAGGTCTTTAGGATCCGTGCTGAACTTCGGAAAAAGAGACTCTCTGATGTGAATGTAGAAAGGGTGCTGAATGTTCAAGGTAAGTGTTAACTGGAATGAACCAAATTATTCAAATGGCCTAAAGTGTGTCCAGATTGGATTTGTAATTCTCTCAAACAATCTTAGATCTTTAAGAAATGTAATATAAAGAAAGAAAGAAAAGAAAAAAAAAGAAATCTCCTTACTTTTTTTGGGCCAGCAATGATATATTCATTTCCTGTCAAGCTCTTTAATGCTGAATTTGCATGTTTATTAAAATCGCAATACCAAATAAAGATAATAAAAACAAATTAAAATTTTCTATCACCATAGTAATGCCATGGGTATCTGTGATATAACAATATACAACATAATACATGCTGTTGTACTGTATTTGGGGACTAATTTGAAATATTTTATCTGTAGACTTCCTTAAACGACTAGTTACCAGCAAACTTGTTTTCACTGTTCATGAAATGAGTCATTAGAAACTTTGTGCCTTTAAATATATGAAGTAGTGTGATGATGTGAACACTAGAAAAAGCCCAGGGGTGGTAGGTCCATGATGCAACAGGAAGAGTATTCCAGTGTCTAGATCATGGGAAGCAAGAGGCTCCCTTCTCCCATGTCACACTCAATTGGTTATTTTAGTAATGAACACAAATGCTCACAAAGTAAATGTAGGTCAGCTGATGCTCTGTTCTGTATCCAGATGGGTGAGGAGCAGATGAAGATGTGGGATAGAGAAGAGAAAACTAAAGACTGATATTAACGATGTTGTCAGATGTTTGGATCTTTGCCTTACAATGAGGGATGTTAGATTCCTAAGGAACCAATGCTACAAACCCAGACTCCATCAGGCTTCTTTTTGAAATCAGCTGTGTCTGTTCTGTCTAGCAGGAGATTAAATAGCCGTGCTTCCAGAAAAAGACTTCTTGTGTAGGGTGGATGTTGGGCTAGATAATCTTAAAGATTGGTTCCAGCAATAATGACTAGGGAAAAAAAAATCAAGCTAGGCATGGTGGTGGTACATACTTGTGATCTGAACATTCAGAAGGCTGAGACAGGAGGATCACCAGGAGTTTTAGGGCAGCCTGGACCACATAGTAGATTTAGGGCCAACTTGGCAATTTAGCAAGATCTTTTTTTTTTTTTTTTTTCTTTTCGGTTTTGGTTTTGGTTTTAGTTTTTTTCGAGACAGGGTTTCTCTGTGTGGTTTTGGTGCCTGTCCTGGATCTTGCTCTGTAGCCCAGGCTGACCTAAAACTCACAGAGATCCGCCTGCCTCTGCCTCACGAGTGCTGGGATTAGAGGCGTGCGCCACCGGCGCAAGATCTTTTTTCAAATGCAAAACAATGTCATAATAACTTTTTTTTTGGTGTGGTAAAAATGTCCATAACAAAACTTACATTTTGAGCATTTTTATGTGAGCAGTTCAGTGGCAAGCGGTGCGTTCATTTCTGTGGTACGTCACCACCACCTATCCATCACTAGGACTGCCCATCTTTCCAAACTGTGACTCTGTACTCGTTAAATAATACCTCCCATTCTTCTTCTCCAGTCCTTGCCGAACACTATTCTGTTTTGCCTCCTCTCTGTGAATTTCACTGCTTTAGGGCCTCTTATAAGATTCAGATAGTACAGCTTGAGTAGCTCTTACCCAAAGTGCTTGGGGTCAGACACGTTTCAGACTCAGAGCTGTCCAGTTTAGGACTTTTCCCCTCCAGGTAACACAGTGTCTGAGGTTCATTCATGTTGTAGCATGCGTCAGCTAAGTAACTCATTGTATGTAATGACACTGGTGTGTCTGTGGACACTGACTGGGTCATACTTTTTAGCATCATGAGCAAGGCTTCATTGAGCATGGGTAGCAAGTCCTCCTGGAGACCTTGCTTCCAGTTTGGTGGTTTTTTTCTGAAGTGGACTTGCTGGATCAGATGGTCACTCAGTTTCATTTTGGAGGACCTGTCACAGTTTTCCAGAACAGCTGTGCACTTCTTACAGCTGTACATAAGGTTTGGATTTCTCATGTCTTACCAGTAGCTGTGGTTTAACAGTTATGATTTTAAAGATGCAAGCTTTATTCTATCAGTGATTCAGAGTGATGATCTCGCCTTGTTTTCAACTTTTTTTTGTAGGAAAGCAATTCAGAGTTCTGTTTCTTAGCACAGTACGTACACGCCACACTTGCAAGCATAAGCAGACACCGATTAAAAAGAAAGAGCAACTTCTGGAAGACTCCACTGAAGACTTGGATTATGGTTTTTTGTCTAACTACAAACTTCTCAATACTGCCATCACAAGAGCACAGTCCCTGGTTGCTGTGGTGGGAGACCCCGTTGCTTTGTGCTCTATTGGAAGGTGTAGGTAAGTCTGTATTACTGAACTGAGAGATATTCTAAATGGGAAATATGGAGTAATTTACATCCTTATGCATGTATTTATCTGTATGACTTCATGGTGAGTTAAAATCAGGCTTATTGTTAATGTTGTTACCTGACATCTAGTATTAGTGAGAGCTCTGGTGGTTAGTGGCTGTTCATGGTACATACATAGTGGTGTATTCAGTCAGTAGCCAGCAGATACCTCCCAAGTGTGTCTGTGTTCTCGGCACTCCTCTAGCCTGGAGATGGTCAGTGAGCAAACAGAGAGAGACATCTGTCTCTGTGGTGGGAAAGGAAGAATGACAGACTAAATAAGAACATTGCATAGTACTTACTAAATAAATTAATACCAAAAACAAACCGAGAGCATCAGGAGCTTTTTGGGGTGACAGATGAGATGAAGTGGCTTGGGACCAGAAAGGGTGTGCTCAGAGGAGCCTCCCCAGCAAGGTGACTCAAGTGATTTGGAAGAGCCAGGGTGGGCTATGCGTCCCTGCACCTGAAGTCTAGGAAGAAGGGCCAGCTGGTGCCAGAGCCCTGAGGTGGGGGCATGTGTGTGTAAAGTTTAAATTTACTTCGGTCAAGTTTAAATTTTATACTGTCTACTGCTTTCCCCTCCCCTTCCTTCACTGTTGCTTTAATTCCTTAAAAACTGACTTTTATTATTAAATTTATTTCTGACAATTTCATACATGTCTATAATATGGTCTAATAAAACTCAGTTCCAAGTTTTGATGAATTTTGTAGTCATTTTCTTTTAAGGCTTCTGTTTGTTTGTTTGTTCCTTTGTTTTGAGACAGGATTTCTCTGTGTAGCCCTGACTGTCCTGGATCTCGCTCTGTAGACCAGGCTGACCTCGAACTCAGAAATCCAACTGCCTCTGCTTCTTGAGTGCTAGGATTAAAGGCATGTACCATCATGTCCTTTGCGGGGCTTTTTAATGTAAATAGTTTTTATGTCTGGTTAAAATTAAAATACCTTAAAATTAAGGGAGTAAGAGAAAGTAATCATAGCTTGCTTTTTGGGTAGTTAAGAACAATGGTTCTATTAAAATATAGATGAACTACCACCTAGGAATTTCTCTGCACAATTGTAGTCTTGGCCAGTAAATAAGAATGTATTTTTGAAAGAAATTTACAATATTTTTTTATGAAAAAGAGAGAGAGATATGCTAGGGACTGATTGCATATTATAAGTGTGACGGAACCTGCCATCTAAGTTCAGAATGGTAAAAAGAAGTCAGACAATCCCTAAGATGCCCTGGCAGTCATTTCTTTTTTGATGTTACAATAACTCTGCACCCTATTTTATTGTATAATTAATTTTTATTTTATTTTAAATTATGTGTATGTATATATTTGTGTATGGATATGTGCACATGAGGGCTAGTGTCTAGAGTTACAGGTGGTTATGAGTCACCTGACATGGGTGCTGGGAACCAAGCTCAGGTCCTCTGGAGAGCAGCAAGTGGTTTTTGTTGTTGTTTTGATTTTTATTTGTTTGTTTGTTTTAGTGTTTTGTTTTTTCAAGACAGGCTTTCATTGTGTAGCCCTGGCTGTCCTTGAACTCATTCTGTAGCCCAGGCTGGCCCTGAATTTACAGAGATCTGCCTGCCTCTGCCTCCTGAGTACTTGGATTAAAGGTGTGCAGCACCACCTCCAGCCAGCAAGTGTTCTTAACCACTGAGCTGTGACTGGAGCCCTGCACCTTATGGTTTTGAGATCGGCGCTCTCGCTGAACCTGGAGCTCACCAGTTTGCTGGTCTGGCTGGCTAGGAGCCTGCCTGCCAGCTCCTCCTGTCCTCCTGTCCTCCTGTCCGTACCCCTCAGCACTGGGACTGTAGGCCTGGCCTCCACACCGAGCTGTCTTTACCCCTAGCTGTGTGTGCAGCACCAGGTTAGCAGGACCTTCTCCAAGGGAAAGCAAGCTGTTAGCATCAGACTCTGCTTCTAAGGTCAGGAGGAGCAGCTTTTTCTTTAGAAAGTAAAGCTCATAGGTCTCATTGCTCACCTCGGAGCAGTTGTGTGGTCACATGACATCAGTTTATCTCTGAAAAATTATTGTCATGTGTTTATAATCACTAATGACAAAATCTGGTGAAAGGAATGTATTCTAGGTTACAGAACACTCTCTCTCTCTCTCTCTCTCTCTCTCTCTCTCTCTCTCTCTCTCTCTCTCTCTCTCTGTGTGTGTGTTTAGGCGCGCGCCTATGCATGATGTATGTGTAGGCATTAACACTATAGCACATACATAGATGTCCACAGGACCTGTGTAATTGGGTCTCTCCCTCCACCTGTCCCCAGCTCCAGAGGTTACGCTCAGATCATCTTGCAGGCTCAGCACTTCCACTGTCTGAGCCATCTTACTAGGCAGGGCCAAGGATATTAACGAGTCTCCTAATTTTACTCCCATCCTGAGAAGTTTGCTTTAGTTTCTCAACTGTCTATCCAAATATTAGAATGTTGTAGTGTTTTGCCATTTGTGTTTGTGTTTAATGTTTATGATTAGATAATATAAAATGGGAGCATGTGTGTGCAGACAGCTCTGTACTCTCAGGAGGATGAATGGGCTGAGTTGTGTGGAGCCATATTACTGTGCGCTCTCCTAGCAAGTAATTCTAAGTACTTAGCAGCCTGAATGTTGTTGAAGAAGCCACTACATCTTCTGTGGACAGACTACACTGGACGGCACAGGATTAGCATTTTTTAGTCTATCTGTGACATGAATTGTCACTTTCTCCAAGCAGATTGGTGAAGAATTCTTCCTGGGGCCTGCTGTCAAGTGCATGGCTAATTTTCAACTCTAGGCTGGGTCTACAGATAACTTATTTCGAACTGAACATGCTATTCTCAGGGGTTACTGGGGTTTCAAGAAATAATTCCTGTGTGCTACACCAGCTTAATCTGTTCTTTGTTGTTGTTGTTGTTTTGAACAGAATTTGTCTATTAGTCTGAAATAGATACAGTGAACTTCTTCCTTCCCGCAGCAAATATTAATCCAGTACCTACTCCTGACCAACTCTCTGCCAGGTGCTGCCTTGTGTACGTGGCACACGTTGCCCCATTTAGTCAAACCAGGAATTGGACAGCAGGCTGTTTTATATTCATCTTAGATGGGCAGCCTGGTGCCGTGAACCACCCCCCACCCCCACCCCCACCCCCACCCCTGCGCGCCGAGACAGGGTTTCTCCGTGTAGTTTTAGTGCCTGTCCTGGATCTCACTCTAGACCACACTGACCTCGAACTCACAGAGATCTGTAGGCTCTGCCTCCCGAGTACTGGGATTAAGGCATATGCCACCGACACCCAGCCAGCTCATGAGAACAGTTGTTAGAGCAACTTTAAAACTCAGGCCCTTCTCAGAGACCCCAGTTTCCCAGGAAGGATGATTGTGCATGACCGATGTTGTTCTACATCATAGCCTTGGAGGACTTAACAACTGAATTTCAACATTAACACATTTTATTAACTTGGTAAATAGAAACATATTTAATACACGTGTAGAATATGACCCAGGGATATCAAGGGAATACTTATTTGGTGTGTGTGTGTGTGTGTGTGTGTGTGTATTTTCACGTGACTTTTTAGTGTTTTACCAGTGATTTTAGAAACAAAGCTAACACAAAATCCAAAGTGCCCCCCCCCCACCAAATAAATCCAGGTGCTGGGCTGATAAGAGACCCTATCTTAAAGAACAGCAACACAAGCCTGGCTGCTCCTGAAGTTGACCTCTGACCTCCATCCCTCTGCACACTTACATCCACATACATGTACTCACTCACACACAAAATGAAAAGTAGCATCATGTCTTCTCAGATACATGAAATTATGTTACAGTGTGTAGACATAAGTGGCTTTCTAGCCAACATTTCTTTTAAAAAATGGTCAGCATAGTAAGAGATTGCCATTTTAGGGAGATTGCCAAGGATGGCAAAGCCCTTAACTACAGTGGTGAATTCTCATCCCTGAATACAGTTGAAATTCTCACCTGCCCTTCCACTTCATGTGCTAGAAATTCCTTATGATGCCAGTGTGAGTGGTCCTTGGAAGAGACTTCATGGGGCTGTTGAAATGGCTCAGTGGATGAAAGCACCTGATGCCAAGCCTGATGACCTGAGAGCCATCATTTCGGGAGAAGGAGATAACTGACCCCCACAAGCTATCCTCTGACCTCCCTTCACATGCCATGGCACACACTCATACCCACACAGTCAAAAGTGTAAAAGAGCTTTTATGGAGAAGAGAACCCAAAATTTTTTTATCTTTAGAACTAAGAATTTACCTGGGCAGCAGTGGCGCACGCCTTTAATCTCAGAACTCAAGAGGCAGAGCCAGGTGGATCTCTGTGAGTTCGAGGCCAGCCTGGTCTATAGAGTGAGATCCAGAACAGGCTTCAAAACTACACAGAGAAACCCTGTCTAGAAAAACAAACAACAAAACAAAACAGAAAAACAAACAACAACAAAAAACGAAGAATTTTGAGAATAGGGAAGATGGCTCAATAGGTAAAGGCCTTTGCCACATAAACCCAGAGAACTAATGTCACAAAGTTGTCCTCTGGCTTCCACATACATGTCATAGAATGTGTTCCCTGCTAAAAACCCAGGACTTATTTTGTAGGAAATAGTACATACTTACTTACCTAAGCTGCATGAGGCCCTGGGTGACTCTCCAGTACCCCTGTTCCCTGTGTTTTTCCCTGAAAGTTTAGAAGTAAGAACTTAATGAGAAACATAATAAGGAATGGTAATAACACTGTTTACTCTGTGCTGTACATGAGGAAGCCAGTGCCATCTGTCACTGCCCATTGCATCTGTTGGGATAGAACCTGGGCCTTTGGCTCTGTCCATGGGACAGCAAGAAGATAAGTCAGGTCTAGAATATAAATTCCATCTTTTGAAACTTGATCTACATATCTATCTACATGTCTGTCTATCTATCTATCTATCTATCTATCTACATGTCTGTCTATCTATCTATATCT